TCACAGCCATCATAAAGGCTATCTTATCCCCATTGGTTCCTATGGCAAAAATCAATTGACCATCTATAGATATACATGGGCAGAAGTATATATTTTTCTCTGGAGCCTCTACTTTCTTTCATTGATGAAATTCCAGTGCTGAGTCAATGCTCTACTGTTGTGATCCGAGTGTCAACAATAAGTCCATAAATCTAATTTTGTGAGTCTTCCCACTTTAAGCATTAAAAATGTTTTTGCTTATTCTACTTCCACTACATTTTTCAAGTGAACTTCAACACAGTCTTTTCAGTTTCCACAAAAAAGGAATGATGGATTGGATTGGACTGAGAAAATTACAGACCAGTATCCCAGCAAGTGGCTTCTTTCTGCCTGGTCTTCTCATTTCTTGTCTGGTGTAACTTGGTTTATTTCAGAAGCTTGATGCATTTCAAAGTACAAAGTATACATATTTAAAACATTTATGTCTGAGTATTTTATTTGCTGAAAAGTAGTACTTAAAATAATTTTTAACTTCCATTTTTTAATTATTAGGAAAAATAGTAATTTATTTGGGGTGTTGATATTAATTTTGATTTGAGTAAGCAGTGATAGGCTGTGCTGCAGAATTTTCAAACACATATATCACTAAACTTTGTTCTTACTCATCTACTAGGCTTTACTTTCACACCCTGCTGGATTCTCTTGATCCTCCCATAATCCTCCCTTCTTCATTCATGTCACATATATTTCATACCTTATTTTAAGAAAATATCTTACCTCTCTCTCTTGAGATTTATTCTTTATCTTTCATAGTCTCCTTTCTATTTTTATGACCTACACACACATATATAAATTTAATGCTGTATTCTGTATATGAGAGAAAAGCTGCAGTGATTATTTTTTCTGTGTATGGCTTATTTGATTTAATATAATAATCCCCATCTGCATTAATTTCCCCCAAAATATCATGATTTTTTCCCTTTATGATTAACAAAATTATGTTAGGCTTATGTACCACTGTGATAGATAATTCTGTCCTGACCACTCCCACAGTTGTTCAGTCCCAAAAAGCATACACAGAGGCTTACAATATAAACTGGTTGTCCTTTAGCTCAGGCTTCTTATCAACTCTTATATCTTACATTAACCCATAATTCTTGTCTGTGTTAGCCACTTGGCTTGGTACCTTTTATCAGTGAGGCATTCTCATCTTGCTTTCTCTGTGTCTGGATGATGACTGTAGACGGAACCTTTCCTCTTCCCATAATTCTCCTGTTCTGGTTGCCCCTCCTATACTTCCTGCCTGTCTACTAGCCAAACTTTATTAAACCAGTACAAGTGACAAATCTTTACAGAGTATAAGATCATTGTCCCACAGCATACCACATTTTCTTTATCCATTCTTCTCTTGATAGATATGCAGGCTGGTTCCATCTCCTAAGCTTTGTGAATGGTACATCATCATCATCATCATCATCATCATCATCATCATCATCAACAACAACAACAACCAAGTCAACTCAGCATGATTAAGTGCCTCTGTGGAATGTTGACTTATCCAAGAGTCATAAACTGGTTCATATGGTTTGGTTTTTATCTTTTGAGAAACCTGTACAGTGACTTCCATAATGACAGCACCAATTTACTTTCTAAGAAGTAGTATATACATACAGTTTTTTTCTTTTACCACTGATGATGTTGGAGACATTAGCATTTGTTGCTATTTCTTTTCTTGATGATATCCAGTTTTCTAGGGTGAGACAGAATCTCAAACCAGTTTGAATTTATATTTCCCTGATAACTATGGATGTTAAATACCCTTTCAAATATTTATTGGCCATTTGTATTTCTTTGAGAACTGTTTGTTCCACTAATTAATTGACTTACTATTTGGATGTCTTGGTTTGGGGGCATTTAACTTTTGGACTTCTTTATATATTCTAGATATTAAGCCCTTGTCTGATATTGTCTTGGCAAGAATTTTCTCTCATTTCAAGTCCAGGAATGTACTATTGAATATATTTCCGTGGTCTATCAAAAATACTTTTTTTTCTTTAAAAATGTATGCCAGAACAGAAAATAAGTGTGCTCATGCCCACGGGACCCCAAAATATCAAGTGCCCCAGGTTTTATGATCACAGACAAGAGTCACCATATCTTGCTCATGGGGAAGTTTTAAGGAATAATTTTGTGGATAGTCCATCCCAGATTTTTAGTTCAGGGTACATATCAGAGGGCTAATTCCTTATGTGGTGGATATTTTCTTTATTAGCCTGAATACAGTTTGTATTGTCAGTATTCCACAGTCCCTCACCTATTATAGGCATGGTCCCCAATTTGCGGTTTTGGGAGATGGTGGAATCTTTAGTAGGGCCTAATGGGAGATACCATAGCCTTTGGTTTCATCTTCTTGAGGGTAATTCTGAGTTCTTTCTTTTTTTTCTCCCAAACATGAGACCTATTATATCTGTCACTCCATCATGGACTGGAACCTCCTCAATTGTCACATTTTCTCTTTAGAAGTTGACTCATCCAAGGTATTGGTTATAAAGACAGCATAATCACTGACTCAGGCCATAACAGACTCTTGATATCATATTTACATATAATTGATTTTATAATCCCCGAGGGTATCCCAGAAGGAAAAAGAAACTGTGGATACTCAGGTTTCTTGTATAAAATGATGACATATTTGCATATAAGATGCCATCCATGTACTTTAAATCACTCTCAGGTAATAATACTACAATACTTAAAGTGATATAAATGTATAAATAGATGCCATGCTGTGTATTCAGGAAACAAAGACAACATAAAACAGTCTGGACATGTTCAATGTAGGCACATGCCTATCCTTTTCAACCTGAGACTAGTAGAGAATGGGAGATGGTGATATGGAAAACTCTTATGACCACTCAAAATACAACTTTGTATGTGTGTATGTGTGTGTATGCCTCCAGCATTTGTCATAGCCTGGGACATCAGCCTCCCAAGCCCTGGCCCTACTGACATGCTAAATCATGCTTAGAATTTAAACTACAACTTTTAAAATCTATCTTCTATTATATTTATAATTATTTATCATCTATCTATCTATCTATCTATCTATCTATCTATCTATCTATCTATCTCATTTACCTATCCATCTACATCTATCTCTCTATCACCTATTTGTTTATCTGTCTGTATTTATTCTGGGCATCAAACCCAGGGTTTCATGCATGCCAGGCAAGGGTTCTACCATTGAGCTGCACTCAGTGCTCATCAGCTATAAAATCTTGTGACAAGTAGAGCTTATCAGAACAAAGTCAGAAAAAATGAACATGTCCATCACTGAAGATCAGATGATGTCATAAGCTGATTCTCACAGACTTCAATATATATGATAGGAAGGTAAGAGATGTGTCAGCCATACGTAACATCATGTATTAGTTGGACAAGGGGGGATATAGAAGTCTTGCTTTGCCATTAGTAATAGCAGGTGTGTTAGTCAGTAGCACCCACGTGTTCTCACAACACAAGTTGTTTAACTCTTGTTGGTGTTTGGCTCATTGATAGACTTATATTCATATTATCAGGTAGCACAAATACACAAAAGGCCTTACTTTTGATCTAAATGACCTCTGAACTGTATGTCCTTATTAAAACTTCATAATAATGTTGGGTATTAAAATAAATCAATATATTATCTATTTCTAAAAAATTCAGTCATGATATTATTGACTTTTTTCCTTTCCAACATTGAGTTGGTTTATAAAAATATAGAGTTGAGTTTACTTTGGAGGCTGTTGCTACAGAATTGCCTAAATATGTCCAGAAATTCTCTGTTATCAGTTTGACCTTTAATAAAGATTTGACACATTGGTTGTTAGGTTAGAGCTATTCCCTTATGATCAGTTATTATTCTAGAATGATCAAGTTATACTAACAATGTTATGAAAGTTAGAGCAAAGACATTAACGTGGAAGTAGAAGAGTTTGTTTCTTTACAATGCATCTGTTTCCCAAGGCTTTAGCTGAGGAGCTCATTGGAACAATCTGGAATAAAGACATATGCCCCCTGCTGGGGGTGCTGCCACCACTGTCTCACGCTTTAGACTTTTTGAACCTAGAAAGTAGCTCCAGTGTGAAAACACATGCAGCGCAGATACTTATCCTCCGCCCTCATTCCCCCCTCATTTCTCTTCCCTTCTCACAGAAAAGTAAAGAGACACCCATGAGACTCGTATTTATGCTTGCTTGATATCTTTGATTAGAGCAGCTCAAATATCAGAATGGTTCTAAAACCCTAAGGCTGAAAGATTCCATGTATATTTCAGTAAAAGAAAATCATCACGATGCTGTAAAATATGTCTTTCTATCTTCACCCAACCTTCCCTCAGATCAGTAGGACAAATTTTCATTGAGTTCAGCTAAAGAAATCACAGCTGTTCAAAAGAGCTACCAGTTGCAGCTTGTTGGTTCTGGAACTTTGCTCAGAACTTCAGCGAACTTGATATTTTGATCTCTTGTGTTTAAAAAAAAGTGGTGAAGGTTGATCCGTTAGGCTCCAACAACAAAGTCTGCTCTTAATAAGGGCGGTTCTATATTTTTATGGGTTTTTTGGGAAGGTGACATGTTGAAAATAAGATCCCAATTAAGTATTGATAGGATTTTGATTTTCTAGACATTGGAGTTTTAGTAATGATTGCTTGCTCAACGTGGGCTATTCTAAAAGTAAATAAATAAAAACACCACAGAGATAGTATCAGTCAAATGGATCCATCAAAGAAATCTAACCCTGCTACCTTCTTGGTATTCTTGGCACGTGATATGAATTACATATGAGAAAAACCAAAGAAATGACAATGTCTTTTCTTTTACTGTTGGCTGATACTTTGGTCCTCTGATTTTTTTTTTTTACAGGTTTTTACAACAGATTTTTACAAATATTTTTTCTCATACTCTAATTCAAATTCATATTCTAGAAATCGATCCAACTAGTCAAAATTATGGTAATACAATGCCAGTGCCACACTGTAGTCATGATGTAATGTTTAATGTGCTGAGTACAGCCATCACTTATTAAAGTAACACATGAAAACATGAATAACATACCTGTCTTACAGAGGAACATGGTATGATTTCTACTTAACATCTGACATCACACTTTCAAAATCTCCCTGCATTAACATAGTGGGAAACAATAAATACTAACACTAACTAATATGAGAACACAAAGAATACAGGTAGGTCTCCATGGATCAAGGCTGTAAGCCCTGGAAACTCTAAACTCAGCTATGACTTGTCTCCCGGGAGCCCACCTGCCTGGGCTGAGGGGTCACTGCTCACAGAAGTTCCACCTAGAAATGTCCCTGAAAACTAGAGTCATTTGATTTTCTAATGTCTCAGACAGGAGATATCTAGAAGACTTTATGTTTCTGTCGGGTTGTAGTATGTCCATCCTTTGCTGAGACGGGCAGCTGGTGCAGACTGGCGAGGAGACTGTGAGTTGGCATTGGTTTCTCGGGACTCTCTCCTCTCCACCTTCATCTTGGAAGCTGAAGATTAAACCTGTGGAAAGTACAACAGAAGCTCAGCTCTAAGGAAGTGGAGAACTCAGAGGTGGGGAGGAAGACTGGTCTAGGCAAGAAGGGTTAGTGACTTCCTTACATTTTTGCCATACACAGCGGTCACATGGATATTCAATATGAACATTCTGAGTAGAGAATGGTTAGCTTCCCCACACTGGACCTCATTCCATAACCTCCATCTCCACTGTTATTTTCTTGATTCATCCAAGTACACAGGCTGGAGGTGTGGGTGGCATCAGCAGTACTGTTTCTATTTTTCCCTGTCCACAGCCAATCAATTGGCACATCTTGTTTTACTCTCAAACAGAGCTAGGCACTGAACCCTGAACCTTGCACAAGCTAGACAAGTACTCCACAGCAAAATCCGCAGGCCCATGGCTTCCATGTACTGGAAGTGCTATCCAGAGTGTATGCTAAGCTTTACGATGTAGAAGGAGCTGTAGTTGAGGACATCCTTGATGTCGCTCCAGAACAGCCCAGATGGTTGAGCACATGTGAGAGCAGAAGGGGGATGAGATGTACTGGGTAGGGAACGAGAAGGTGGATGCAAATGGGGACCAACATATTGAGTGAAATAAGCCAGAATCAGAAAGACAATGCGTACACCTGTTCCTGTTCTGTGGACCTTAGATTTTATATGGATAACATTAAAAGCAAAAATGAGGCTGTCTGGGGGAAGGAAGGAAGAGGAGGGAAGGAGGAAGAGAAAGGGATAGATATAGGGGATGTGTATGGTCAAAGTACATGACCTAGTTGAATAAAAATGGTGATGAAATCCATATACCAGTAAAGATTCTGGCCTTAGCAGGAGTTCTGTGTGACGATAAATTATGTCCTGTAGTCATGCCATCTTTGCCTCTCCTTGTATGAGAACGGACTCAGTAAACAATAACAAGATACATTTACACTTACCAAGGGGAGTACCAGTACGTAAAGAAAAATGCTCATGATGGTACTTCACACAACTTTGGTTCTTTGATTATAGTGGCATTCAGAGGTAAACACAAGACTTTTTTTTGTATTTTCAAGACAGGATTTCTCTCTGTAACCCTGGTTGCCCTGGAATTCATCCTGTAGACCAGGCTGGGCTTGAACTCACAGAGAACCATCTATCTCTGCCTCTTAGTGCTGGGGTTAAAAATGTGAGCCACCCACTGCCTGGCTAAACACAAGATTTTTAAATCAATTACAAAAATTCAAATAGCTGTTTTTGAGTATGGTGCCAACTCTTTTGAGAATAAAATCATCTTTGTTCTCACAACTATTATCAAATTGAACTATAGAGGAAAAGTTGAAGCTAAAATAAGTATTAAGACTCGATGTGGTGGTTATCTTGGTTATCAGCTCAACGGGATTTAGAATCAAGTAAATAAGAGATAATCCAGTAGAGATACCTATGAGGATTTTTCCCTTCTTTGAAATGGAAAGAGCCACTCCAAATTAGGGTCCCACCTTCCAGTGGCAGGACAAATAAAAGGGAGGCTAAGGGAGACTTGCTTTCTGCCTGCTTGCCTTACTCATGCTTCTGCCGCCACGGATGCATCCCTTAGTTGATATCAGAGCCCTGCTTCTTCGGGCATCAAATGTGCACTGAAGAGCAGTAGCTCTCCAGGAAGCCTCCAGGCCAGAGCAGCACTGCAGAGGCCTGCATCCTCAGGGACTGAGCTGCTACTGGCTTCTCAGTCTCTCCAACATGAAGGCAGCCCTTGTTGGACTAGCCAGCCCACACTGTGTGTGCTAGCTGAACAAGTCCCCTTTTACTATATATTTGTTTATAGAATCTGTTCCTCTAGAGCATCCCTCAATATGACAGTAAATCTGCAGAGTAAGGGAACTATTTTCTGGACCCCTATCAACCCTCCTATTGTTATAAACATAGCAGGTGAACGGGTGAGCCAGCATCTTTCTGTAATTATTTTTTATTTCTCATGTAAGATTTTATTCTTCCGGTCAATAATACTTTGCAGAAGTCAAAGATCACAGCTCAAAAGTCTTTTGGACTTCCTGCCTGCCCTGCTAATTCACATTAAATATAATTACCTGAAAAAAGTGGATGGTCCATCAGTCAGGCTGATGAGATGGCTCAGTAGGGAGGCATTGCCACCAAGCCTGACAACTTGAGTTTGATCCCCAGATCCCACATGGTGAAAGGAGAGAACCAACTTCCACAGGTTATCCTCTGATTTCCTCATTTGCACTGTGTATGTACACATGGGTGTGGGCATGGGTGAATACTTGTATATATACACAGACACACAGAACCCACAAATAAATGCATAAATGTCAAAGAAGAAAAAAAAGTGGATGGTCACTAGATGAAACAGGAAGCATTAAATGTATCTAGAATGTTCATTTGAGGTGACAGATTTGAATTTGAATGATTGTTTTCTGTTGCATACAGATTCGGAAACTTCTTTGCTCCTTCCTTAATTCTAATGAACTCATTCCAATTCATTCTGAATTTCTGCGTTAATATCTGATTTTGAGTTGACAACCCAGAAATTACTCACTGGTTATTACATTCTAAGTGCAGTGACAGAAATATGTATGTTGAAGAAAAGGTAACACAAATAGATGGTACAATTGGCAGATGTCAAACTTGTTTCTTCCCACGCCTTTCTGATCTTTAGTCTTCTGAATATGGTTATGCAATCCCAAAATTATTCAGAAGAGCAACAAGAGTTGTATAGGTTTGCAAATCCAAAGACAAGAAATCATAGCTCAGGAATATATATTCTGCAGGTCTATGATAGGTATGTGTTATGTATGGTGTGGCTGTATCTGTCCAGGCATGTAGGCATGCATATGAGCACGTGTGGAGGCCAAAGGTTGATGGTGTCTGTCTTGATCATCCTAGTATATTGAGGGAGGGTTTCTCACTTGAACTCAATTTACCTATTTGTCTAGTGTGGCTAGTTAGCTTGCTTGCTTCTGGGGAAGTCTCTTTCCACTGCTGAGAGCTAAGATTATAAGGGGATTGCCACACTCATCACACATTCACATAGGTCCTGGAATCCACAGTGACATCCTGACACTAGTTCAGGAAGCACTTTACACACAGAGCCATCTCTCCAGACTGGATTTTTTTTTAAAAAAATATTTCTTCCATTTCTAAATATTGTCAAATAATTGCATCATTGCCCTCTTCCGTTTCCTTCCAAATCTTCCATATAAACCCCTCCTTTCTCTATTTCAAACCCATGGCTTCTTTTTTCATTAATTGTTATTAAATGAATATATGTATCACTGAAGATGTAAATACAATTGACTCAGTCTATACAGTGTTTCTTATATGTATGCCTTCAGGGGTGACTGCTTGGTATTGCATAACCGATGGATGTGCTCTTCCCTGGAGATTTTCTTTGGCTCTCAGTATTCCTTAGTCACCTATAGCTCTTTGTGTAGGGTTGCAGCCTACTGCTAAATGGGAGTTGGATAATGCCCCCACCCTGCATCTCACCCGGCCTTTAGCCTTCCCCATGTGCCTAAGGATTGCTACAGTTTCCTCTTCCTTCATTTGGGTGATGCTCCCTTGTGAATACAGGCCTCCTGCACCTGGGTTAGGCAAGCTTCCATGGCGCAATGACAGCTTGAAGGACTTTAACTAAGACTGCATTTCTGGTCACTCGGTTTCAATAGTTTGGTGCACATAGCCATGTTTCGTGGATCTAGAGAGAAAGTGCCTCTGGATGTGTCCTTGGCCAGGAAGGTGGTTGGGTTTTTGGTGGAGCTGGACTACCAGCTCTGAGCCAGCCTATGGCAGGAAGGTACATCTTAAACCCAATGTAGCTTCTGTTTGCTGTCCCTCCTTGCAATAAACTACATGTAGTAAGCTACAGGTCTGTATGTATTGTCCCCGTGTCCTGTGAGCTGCCATTACCCTATGAACATTGCCTATCCCAGATGCAGGAGGATTCTACTCACAAGGAAACATGGGAGCTGTGTCATTCTGTAGGCAGTGGGGAGGGCCACTGGAAGAATGTTCTAGAGTCAAGAGAGCAGTCGTTTTCCTGATAGCTTTTCTTAGTCTGTTTTTAGACCAACAGCCAATGATGCTTTCATTGACAGCAACCATTAAATGCTCAGAGTTTAGAAGTCTATAAAATAATCTGAGGTATAGCCGGCTACGGAAGCAGATATGAATTGGTGTTTCTGTGAATGGAATTAGGGAACTCACATATGTATTGCCCAGGTATAGGGAGGATCCACCAGCTGTCAGTTCTTGGTTTTCCCCTGTGCGGAGCGCTCACCTGAGAACAGAGGAGAGGTTTGATCTATGTGCTCAGAGAGATGAAAGATGAAAATAAAGTTTCCTGGATTTTCATTTTTTTTTCAAGGAAAGTTCAAATTTTTTTCTGCAAGATTGTCATTAAACTCACAGTTTGCTTCTTGGTATTGTCTGGAAATTATCTACCAAGATTTATGAGCTTTCTTTGGCCATCTTATATTTTCACCCTAAAGGATGCATGCTAGCTCACTCCCTGGAGGTGAGGGTGTGGACTAGGAGACATCTCAGGGGAGATGACACATGGGTCATTACAGACTCTCCCTTTATGGCTTTTTTCCTAGGCAAATCCACACTACATACTTAAAGTGCCATTTTATCAAGAAGGTATAACTGGGTCCTTCTATTTAAATAATTCAGTGGGAGCTTTGGGGAAATGATTTATAAGCCAATGGAAATGCTTTAGTGACAGTAAGGGAAGCATACAGGTGACATCCCTCAATGTCAGTGATAGTCTGCTATTGTATAGAAAGGTAAAAGGATGAACCCGGATGGTGGGAAGATGAGAGTCCCCAAGCACTTTTTACATGATACTGAATTTGTGATTTGCATCCTGCATCCTTCAGGGAGTACCAAGTATCAGTGCCAATCATTATGGCACTGTGGGTAAGATGCTCCAGCTGTTAGGATACATGTCATCATTTTACTCTAGCGTTTATCTGTCCGTGCTTAGCACAGCTGTCTTCCGGTGCCAACGTATGTGTCACCAGTTACTTTCACAGGTGTGGAAGTCATAAATAGCACCAGAGAGCTAGGAGACAGGACTCACGACTCTTTGCAGCGGTGATTCTTAGGTCCTGTGCTGGAGGAACTGCAGAGCACAGGGTGACAGTCCTTGCAGCACCAACCATACTACAAGCTTCTGCTTGCATCTCTTTAGTTTGCCAAAGGCACACCACTTACCTGAGGCCTATGGCTATGAAATAGAAGAATAAGAAGTAAACAAGATACATTTTCATTTAACTTCTTCTATGTGACAGAAATCACATAAAGGACATTATATTGAGAATTCATTACAGTTTCTAATAGTTGACCTTAAGTTCTGTCCAATCAGAAACAGACAATATGAGAAAAACTCGGCACCATAATGGTTTTGGTAACAGTTATTTTCATAATGATATTCATTTGAATCAGAAATGTCCCCCACAGGCTGTATTTGAACACTTGGTCTCCACCTGGTTCACTGTTTTGGAACTTCAGTGAGGGGGAGCCTTGCTTGGGGGAGTATGTCACTGGGGGTGTGCTTTGAGAGTTTAGAGCCATTCCATACTATCCTTTCCCTGTCATTGTGTTCTGGGTGTGCATGAAAACGTGGTCATCTTCCTGCCCCTGCTCCCATGCTCTGCCTTTCCCACCAGAAGGGCCCTCTGCCCCTGGAACCATAGGATAACGTGGTGACCAAAGTAGAGGAAGAGGATTTGGGGAGAGGAAACTGTTAACATTGGGAAAATGACAAGACATTTAATCACAGCCCCTGTACTGTCTGTAAACAAACAAAAAATAATTTTAGCATGCACTGGAACTTTTCTTGAAAATATGAGGCTTTAACGTTTATTTTTTCCTTTTCCTTCCTTTATTGCTTATTCCTTATTCAAATAAACATTTGTTTATTGTTTTCTCTTATGACATAATTCGTTTTGAGATAAAAGTCCTGAGATTCTATAGTGAGACATGACTGTACCCCAAACCATGTATGGCTGCTGAGATTCCAATTTCATTGTATTCCCATTTACGCATATTAATTAACACTGTGTGACTTAGACTTTGAAGTAAATAATGTCAGATGTAACAATCTTCTATTATGATTTATGGGCATGCTGATGTCTTCTTATCAGATGCATTTTTTCATTTAAGTATTTTAAGGTTATTACTTGTGAAAGATAAACTTGTGAAATTATATTAAACTCTATCACTTCAGGCTCTATTCTAGTTATATTTTAGGAATGGTTTTAGCATTGGTCTTGGGACAAATGGAAAATAATTTAAAAAATTAAATTTCTTACAAGGGTGGTGAGAAATATTTTATAAAGAAGATATATTTGAATAAGTTTGAAGGGCACTGACAAGACATTTGATTGGAATAATGAAGTCACCAAGTCTTGTTAACAATAGATTTTAATCAAAATTCTGTAGTCTAAGGACCATTTGAAGGTCATTACGCTTAGCTTCTTAGTTCTAGGTTATTAAAGTCGATTCTGAACCACCAGTTTCTATCTCACTCAGACATTTTCCAGTGGTAATCAGCTGGATTGGCCTTTGGGGTAATTTTGAAAGCAGTATGGTTCCCAAATCCAACTGGGAAGGAAGGAAAGTATCAGAGACAAACTCTTAACAGGCCTAAGATAATATTTCTTCTTTAAACATGGATCTTAACAAACTCCTGTAGGAAGGAAAGGGAAACTTGTAAGGTTGAGGATCATCTGTCTACATTATCAGCTTCACTTGTTGCAAGTACTATCCTGAGAGAGCCAAATATGCTGTGCAGTTTGCAAACAGAACTCAAGAAGGTTTCAGGGTTTGTTGTTGTTTGGTTTTTGAGCGGGAAAATTCTTTTGAGAAATCTATGATCAAGTGGTCTTTATTATAGCCAACTTCTTGCAGCTATCACTTGGGGATCCCACACAATACCTCATCCCACATCTCCAGAGTCGAGGAGACTGTAGTGCACTTGTTCAAACTCCAAAACAAGGGCAGGACAGCACAGAGAATCTCCGTGATGTTTCCTGGCCAGACACAGGCAGATTCTTGAGAATTTCTCAGGATCAGTGGTGTTAATCGTGTTCAGGCTCTCTCACGTGCTAACTAACGCACATTCAGGTCGCTTACTCAATTTTTCACTCCCTTCTTTTATGCGGTAGAATAAACGTGGCTACCTAGTCATTGCTGGTGAGTAGCCAAGAAAATCCTAGACATGGATTTATATTACTCTCTGGATGAGTTTGTTGTTTTGCTTCATTAGATGAGGTTACTCCTGAGGGAGAAAATAGAGTGGACATAAAAGAAACACACCAAAGAATATTAGAGATGCAAGAATAAAAACCAGCAGTCTCTTAAAAGAAAAATGGTGGACGGAGAATATTATCAAAGGGAGAGCACTTGCTTAGTATGGCTCTTGGTTCCTTCTCCAGTGAGGAGGGAAAGGAAAAGAAGAGAGAGGATTAAAGTCTATCTGTGCTGTGTTGCGGGCCCTGGCTTTTCTAGTCTTGTGATTTTCTATGATACTTTATTTTGCTTGGTGTATCCTGCCTGATACTCAACAATCTTAAACTTTGCTTTTTGTTTTGGACACTACTTAGAGCCTGTTGTTTTGTGAATTTTTTAAACTACTATAAATGTTTATTACCTAGCTCTTCACTCTAGTGTTCTTTGGACATAACACATGAACCTGGAACCATGTAACCTGATATTTAAATTAGAGCTCTATGGACTACTTTGTAAAACTTAGAAGTTGTTTTTAATTTCTCTGTTTGGTGATATCAATGCTTTAGCTACCAGTCTATTTGAACCAAGGGAAAATAACTGTTAATTTTTCAAAGCAAGCTTGCATATTATTTGTTATTGATCTGGACACAAACGCATCTAAAACAAATCACATCTGTACTGTGTGAGAATTTTATATTTCAAATTGAGTCAAATACGGATAGGGAATTAAAAGCACAAATGATGATTATATCAATAGGAAAATTTATTTTGTGCTTCTTAGGAAAGTTAGTTGAGATTGTGTGAAATAATGTAGAACATTGTTTATCTTTTAACTAGAAAATCATAACTCCCCATATGACTACATAGACACACACACACACACACACACTCATTCCTTGCCCCAAATAAAGCAAAATATCAATAGAACTTTTAAAAACCCTGTTAAACTGTCTGGTCTTTGGGCCATTTCTGCAGAACAGTGAAAGTCTAACACTACTCCCCCCTCATTCATTAGAACATGTCTCTACTTCTACCAAAAGCAACCCCAGTAACACAAGGCCCAAGACTCCAGTTTATGAAAATGACATCTTAGGAATCATATCCTCTCCGTAGAAGGAATCTGCATTTACTGAGAGCTACGGCGGAACTGTTTCTCCGGTTCTGCTTGGAGCTGTTTTTCATGGACTAAAGCCCAATGTGGAGTCAGCTTGCCTTCTAACCCCCTGTTTTCTTACCAATGGAGACTTACCAGACTCGTGAGAGATTGTTTTAACAGTGAGCAGCTTCACGCTCTCTTTATCCGACTGAGGCCTGTTTGATACAGAGACACGTGAGTTAGCACCAAGGTCAAGGGCAGTGTGTCTGCACAAGGAAGCGGATGGGGCCCAGGGTGAAGAAAAGGCACAGGCAAAGACTACTTTTTTTTTTTTTTTTTTTTTTTTTTTTTTTTTTTAATAAGACTCTATGACAAACTCCATGTTCCTTCACTACAAATACAAGCGTACTGTGCAGCCCTTTCCGGTAGTTTTTGAAGCACAATGGCAGATCCCATCACTGTCACAGTGGTGACCATCAGCTATAAGTTTAGATAAACATCACCTGGATCATGGAGATGAATGCCTAAATGTCCTGTGTCTCCAGCTCTGAGTTATGAGGTAGAACACACAGAAACATTCATGAACTTTCTGACTGAATAGTGAGGTCCAGGGACATTCATTTTTATTAGATCATAAGATCGTAGTATCTGAACCGACTCTTTTAAAGAGACTTTCCCATATTGTTTCCCAGATTCCAGTTCCAAAACCTAGCTGCTTCCCTTAGATATCCTGAGAGCCTTCATTTGGAAGTAAGATGATAGGCCTCCAAGAGTCATTACTTCTATAACAATAACAATTTAGTGAAATAAAAAATATCACTATGAATGAAGGGTACATATTCAGGTAAATAAAGAGAATGTAATGACTTTCTTGATTTTCAGCACAAACACAGTACCTCCTGGCTTACTAAAGCCGTGCATGAAATAGTTGCCTGTGTTACTACCAGCCATTCTGCTTGCTTTGCCAATCAAAGTAGAACAACATTGTGCCCAGGCAAAGCTCGTCAGAAGCAGCTTGAAGAACAGGCACTGCTTTCCTTAGCTGTGGTGACCGTGTTGAACATTTCATCAGGAAAACTATCTTAAAATGCTATGTCATTTGCATATTTTGTTTTGTTACATTCATCTTTCACCAAATCTTTTCTTCATATTTTTTCTTCTTTCTTATACTTTGTCTGTATCTAAAAGCAAACTTTTCTTTTATTTGTCTTTAAATAGCTCTGACAAACAACCAAATCCCATGTATGATAGCTTCCTTACATTTTTTTTTTAAAAAGAAAACATACTATTAGGAGTTGCAAAGGAAAAAGGCCAAGTATCGTAGAAAGGCAGATCTATCAAAATTATATCTAACTTCTCCATGTAAACAATGAAAGCCAGAAGGTCCTGGTCAAGTGTTATGCAGACACTAAGATACCAATGGATGACAGCCCAGACTACTATACCCAGCAAAACTTTCAATACCATAAATGGACAAAACAAGATAGTTCATGACAGAACCAGATTTAACCAATGCCTAACCACAAACCCAGACATACACAAAGTACAGGAAGGAAAACTCCAAACCAAGGAAGTTAGCTGCATCCACAAAAATAAGGATAATAGATGGTCTTACAGCAGTAAATCCCAAAGAAGGGGAAAACCTACAAAAGAACATCACCAACGATGAAAACTGAAATAACAGGAACTAGCAATCACTGGTTAATAATATCCCTTAATTTAAATGGACTCAACTGATCTATAAAAAGACACAGGCTTACAGATTGGACACAAAAACAGAATCCATCCTTCTGCTGCATGCAAGAAACACGCCCCAACCTCAAAGATACATCACTTTAGAGTAAAAAGTTGAGAAAAAAAATTCCAATCAAATGGACATAAGAAAAAAAGCTGGTATAGCTATCCTAATACCTAACAAAATAGACTTCAAACTAAAATCAATCAAAAGAGACAAAGAAGGACATTCATATTAGTTACAGGGAAAATCCAAGAAGAAATCTCAATACTGAACGTCTATGTCCCAAAACAAAGGACACGGTCAACAAGACAAAAAGGCAGCCTACAGAAAGATCTTTACCAAACCCCCCATTGGACAGAGGGCTGATGTCTAAAATATACAAAGAACTAAAGAAATGGTCATCAAAAGAACAAATAAGTCTAATAAAAAATGTGGCACATACCTAAACAGAGAACTCTCAACAGAGGAATCTAAAATGGCTGAAAGACACTTAAGGAAATGTTCAACATCCTTAGTCATCAGAGAAATGCAAATCAAAACAACTCTGAGATTCCATCTTACACTTGTAAGAAAGAATAACCAAGATCAAAAACACTGATGACAACTTATGCTGGAAAGAATGTGGGGTAAAGAGAGCACTCCAGCATTCCTAGTGGGAGTGCAAACTGGTACAGCCACTTGGATATCAGTATGGTGATTTCTCAGAAAATTAGGAAACAACTTACCTTAAGACCCAACAATACCACTTTTCATTATTACCCATATGATGCTCAATAATACTACAAGGACATGTGCTCAACTATATATAGCAGCATTATTTGTCATAACCATAACCTGGAAACAACCTAAATGCCCCCTACTGAACAATGGATAAGGAAAATGTGGTATATTTGCACAATGGAGTACTGTCCTGCAGAAAAATACGACATTTTGAAATTTGTGGACAAATGGATAGATCTAGAAAACATCGTATTGAGTGAGATAACCTAGACCCAGAAAGACAAATATCATATGTACTCAATCATAAGTTGCTTTTAGACATAAAGGAAAGCAAAACCAGCCTACAACTCACAATCCCGGAGAACCAAGACAACAATGAGGACCCTAAGGGAGACATACATGAATGTAATCTACATCAGAAGTAGAAATAGACAAGATCTCCTGAGTAAATAGGGAGCATGGGGACCATGAAAACAGGTAGAAGGGGTGGGGAGAGGAAGGGAGGGGTGCAGAGACAAATATATAGCTCAATAAAAACAATTTAAAAAGAAAACAATACATAAAATGTGAGTATAAGTTAAAAATTCTTCTATATGTAAATGACAGGATTGAATGATCTGTGGGAAAAAACAGCGATGCAGGCCAACTTACTGATCATTCCCGTTTTCTGGAGCTCCTAGAAGAGAAGATGGTTGTTATTAAATGTGACATCAGGGCCTCTTTCTGCCGAAACTCTCTCTAAAACCAGTTTTACTTTTCCTGTCTACTCATAGACATTCACTCAGGCACAGTTAACACTCAACCTGGCATGGAGCTGTCCTTGTTAAATAATCTACAAGGAATTTGGTTCTGGTTTAATTTTTACCATATAACATCACATTACTTTGAGAATGCACCATCTAGGATTGTCTATCATGTGGACACTAGAAACTTCCATATCTTTGCTATCTCTCAGAAACTTCTCAAAGGATTGGTTGCCCTTGACAGCCAGAGAATAAACTTTTCTATTTTTCTTTATGCACTGCTCTTTCTTGGGAGACAAATCACTATAGTTATGGCAGGTGAGAGGGAGCTATCCTTTCTCTTGGGTTTTACCACAATGTCACTCCCAAGACAAGCCTTCGAAGTGCCACTGAGGCAGCAAGCTTCCCAAGTGTTTGATAGACACTCCTTGGGTTCACTGTGAGATTGTTTCCTATTGTAGGGTCATGGCCTCCCTGAAGCAAATGTTAACATGTTCCACTCATTTGCTTTGCCCTGATTATATTCCATTCCATTTGGCTCCTGTGGCAATTTCTCTTCATATCTAATCTGGGTCCATCTTTGGGATGAGCCTCTTGAGTATGTCTCGTCTGCCTTTGAGTATTATTATTTCCATGAAGACCTTGGATATCATAAACATTTAGGCTGCTTCTATTTCTGTTGCCCAACCCAAGACATCCAACTCAATCTCTAGTTACCTAAGATTAACCCATTGTACCCCATGCAGCTTGTTGATATCTAACCATGTCTTTCTCTATCAGACATGTCTTTCTCTATCTTTATCTATAAGCGTCCAGCAGTATGTTCTTATTACCATAAGTGCTAAATACAATGTTGCCTGTGATGTTCATAGACACCCCCCCATTCAGAGTAAGCCGATCCTATTTGAATGCATGTTTTAGCATTTTTGCTTAGAGTATGATAACAATGGGTTAATTAACGGATAGATGCCTGCCAGCAAACTTTCTGCAGATATCCCATGCCTGATCATCTATGAAAGTTCAATCTACGGCAAACATTGCTCAGATGAGCTTCATTTCCAACTTCTGCTTCATGTTGCCTTTCAGAGGGCAGAGCAGGCTTATTAATACTGTGAATGTAATGAAGTCTCCCCCAACGTACTTGGTGATTAACTGCAGGTGTTTAATGGTGCTAATTTAAAGACAACAAGGCTGGAAATTCTGTGTGGAAACAAAGCTAACAGTAAGCAAATAGACCTGGCTGGTTATATAACTTCCACACATTATCCCATTAGAGTCAGTTTCAATAGAAAATGTCACTTTTAGCCTCACACATTTTCAGAGTTCTCCAGTTAAACAATTCTTTTTCAGTACGCGGTATTTTTATAAGTGGATTTAATATATTAGTCTTTATCCATCTCATAGACTGACCACCCCCAGGCTTCAACTGTGATACTGTGATGGCTGTATTCCCATAGAAATAGGGCTGGTGGCTTAAAAAAACGGGTGTGTGTGGGGAGCTGGTTTATGCAAGTCCTATTTCCTCTTTGGAAACTGGATAAGAAAATGTTTTTCAGACATTATAGATTCGCTCTCTCACTCCTACAGGAAAGCGCATTGTTTTCTTTTCCTTTTCTTTTTTTTTCATTTCCCACCCAGAGAGCAAATGAATGCCTCTGTTTTGGTCTGCTAACTTCTCCTTTGGCTGTCATGATCCGCTCCAAGCGTCTGTGAGACAGTCAGTGGCCTAAACCGCATTCATTAGCACCCTAGGGTAAGAAGGTAACCGTGTAGCTTATAAGCCATATAAAAATAAGTACTTTTTACCTTCTTAAAATCTTAAGAGGCTTAGGTAGAATTGTGTTAGTGAAATAGTTAGAATGAAAATAAAGGGAAGATTTGCTTCACAGGCCATTTTAAAATTTTACCTCAACAAGCGTAGAATAAAAGTCTACTGCTATATATCAGGCAAAATGCAAGAGGAGCTGTATGTGGTCTATGGTAGGACAGTTATTGTTGGGCTCACAGGGAATACAGGCACAGAGCAAAGTAAAATTATCATGAAGCTGTTAATCTGATTTGTAGAGTAAAAATTAAAAGTATAATCTGTTCTGTTTAACGAAGTGGTATGTTATCAAAAGGTACAGTTGCTGGCTGAATCTTATGGAGTAGGTTGCAAGTGTGTTCTAAAAGCCAAGTGGTGGGCCGACTTGACGTTCCAGGAAAATGACAAGAATGGATAAACATATAAAAACCTGAATTTCATAACCTATCCAGGGCAGGTGTCTGGAATTGGCTAATGGACTGGAGTTCACGCGATAGAGGGAATAACCGAGCTAAGCAAGTAGAGGGAGGTGCCGGCAAAGCGTCCACTCGGACAGCACCATCCTGGGACTAGGAGAACAACTAAATATAGAAGGAAGGACCATGAGTAGAGAGTTTTGTTTAGAATAATGCATTAACATCGGCTGATTGGATGAGACAACTGTACTATTCTAAACTAATGTAAGCGGAGACTGCGCATTTGTTTCCTCACTGCCCAGACCCGAATAATAACACAGAAACTATATTAATTACAACACTGTTTGACCTGTTAGCTCAGGCTTTTTATTAACTAACTCTTACATCTTAAGCCAACCCATTTCTATTAATCTGTGTATCACCACAAGGTTGCGGCCTACCGGTAAGTCTGGTGTCTTTCTCCTTCAGCAATTACATGCCGTCTCGTTGACTCCACCTACTCTCTCTATATATCTCTGTTCAGATTTCCCACCTGGCTTTGCTCTCTGCTAAACCACTGACCAAACTCCAATCCGTCAGCCAGTTCCAGACACCTGCCCTGGATGTGTTATGAAATTCAGGTTTTCAGCCGGCGGTGGTGGCGCACGCCTTTAATTCCAGCACTCGGGAGGCAGAGGCAGGTAGATCTTTGTGAGTTCGAGACCAGCTTGGTCTACAAGAGCTAGTTCCAGGACAGGCTCCAAAACCACAGAGAAACCCTGTCTCGAAAAACCAAAAAAAAAAAAAAAAAAAAAAAAAAGAAAAAAAAATTCAGGTTTTCATACAGTTATCCATTCTTGTCATTTTCCCGGAATGTGAAGCTTGCCCACTACTTAGCTTTTAGAACACATTTGCAACTTACTCCATAAGATTCAACCAACAGTTGTACCTTTGGATAACATACCACTTTGTTAAACAGAACAGATTATACCTTTAATTTTTATTCTACAAATTGGATTAACAGCTTTGTGGTTATTATCGAAATTGTACTTTGCTCTGTGCCTGTATTGCCTGTGAGCCCAGCAATAACTGTCCTACCATAGGCCACATACAGCTCCTCTTGCATTTTGCCCGCTATACAGCAGTAGATTTTTATTCTGTGCTTGTTGAAGTATAGTCAATCTGCTAAGCCACTGGTCAAAACAGCTTCTTTATTAACCAATGGCAATAAAACATATTCACAGCCTACAGAGGGGAAACCCCATCAAGCTAAGATGATTATGATGACAGAGAATTGATGATGGTGGACTCCAGATGAAGAACATGAGGGAATGTCTTATCTTTATAAACTATCTACTCTAAAGTATTAATTTAATACAATAGAAAGCTTATGTAAAGAAATGATAAGCCACACAACGCCACCACAGAAGAAATCTGTGTTGGAAAGAAGTTGAGCCTTCAAGGAGGGAAATAGGTTCCGAAGTATAATTCTTGAGATTATGTCCTTCTAAACTAAACTTTCATACATCTCTGCTTACTCAATGACCCAGACACATTCTATTGCACATCATCTTCAGAGTACACACCTGTGGCTGTCCCCACAGTTGAGGACATTTCATTAGCTTGAAGGGATCTATATTCTACTACCAGATCTTAATCTTCACTTCTTACTTTGAGCAGTATACAGAGAACTTCTCCCTGTCCTTTCTGATCAGGCGACATGGTATCGTCACTAAAAGTCTTCTCCTTTCGACAGTTTTAAGTTCAAGGTTGCACTAAGCAAACACCCATTTTACTTTTGAGGAAACAAAATGAAGCAAAACAAAAGGTCATCACTTGCCTGGTTCTCTCTTCCAGCACATCCGATACAAACCCACTAGAGTAAATACCAAGAGTGTTATGACAATCAGCGCGATGACCACAGGCAAAAGAACATCTGAAAAGTATTGGAGACATTGTCAGCTGGAGTGATGCTGATTCCATACAAACAGACCATGCTGGACAAAACATGCATGCTTCTTTCTTTAAAGAACATCCTGCCTTAACACTAGTATATTTCAGCCAATAATTAATCTGATTCACAGATTTGCTCTGCGTGTCATTTCTGACATATCCACTTGATGTCACTCTTGTAGCCTTTCTTAACCAAACTTCCAAACCTCGAGGAGATGGCGTCCCATCTTCCTGGAAGCTGGGGGCATAAGGAGAGAGGAGACCAGAGACAAGAGTTCTCTAGATTAGAGTTAAACCACTCTCATTCATTATACTTTTTTGTCTTTTATAATGATGTTACTTAAAAAAAAATGCAGCTGACTTGGGTGGTTCTAATCCAAAGGCTGAAACTTGCAAGTTTCTTGGCAACATGCTGCCTTAAAGCTAGAAAATGGGTGAAAGAACAGTAGATGTATTGGATAGCATTTTAGAAAGTCTAACAATGTCAGTAAAAAGAGTTGGGTATGTGCCCACGTGCATATGTTTGCAAGGGGTTTGTTTGTTGTTGTGAATTCGTGGAAGGCTTTCCTGTTTTGGTTAACAAGAGGTTTTTTGAGTTTTCAGTGATAGTGGTGTGCAAGGGTAAAAGTTTCGTGGTTAAAGCAAAGAAGCAGGGAGGGGGAGAATTAGTCAGGTCTTCCCATCTACTCCTGTTCTTCTTGCCTATTTATCAAGGGGCATTAATATTATAATTCTTCAGTAGGGTAGCTTACATTTCACTATCAAGTCAATATGAAAGCGTACTTGAAAATAGATCTTGAGTGACGTTGTTTCCTCCTCAAAATGAAAATTTCACAAATCAATGGGTCAGTTCTTTCTGGGATACCTTATTTAATGAAATGGTTTTACTGAAACCAAAGATAATCATTTTTCATTTCAGCTTCGCATACATTCATCTTAATGTTAATTACTAAGGGAACAATCAAAATAATCTATTCATACTTAGCACACCTCTAAGGTGTTATATTGCCTATGTATGTTCAAGCTAAAATAAAATTAACTACCATCAATATAATAAAATTCCATCAAGGTGAAAAAATTGTTATGTAATTTAATTGCTTTAAGAATATTTAATTGGCAAGTGAAGATGGATATGTTGAAGGCATATGGCATGATGATCTGGAGAAAATTTATGTGTGGTGATTTTGTCTTAGCCGAATACAGTTCGATCAAGTCATTATTTGTTTGTTTTTTTTTTTCTTCTGGTAATTGCTTACCACTAGGACAAGAATGAAAAAGAAAAAGAAAAAGAAAAAAGAAAAGAAAGGAAGAAAATGGCCAGGATATGTAATTAAGATCAGATTTATAAAGCAGGCTGCAGTTTGAGTTATAATGGAACTACAGGCTAAGTAAAGTAGAGAAAAGACTGTCTATAACCCTGTCCCTTCATGGTTCGCACTTATATATTCTGCATGCCTATTTCCATGAATGGAGATACATATGCTACTCACCAGAGTAAGGCGAGTTGGCTAATGGAGTGACCTTCCCATCCGCAGTGTCTGATATTTTGAGAGAGAAAACAAACAAGTCACCTTTGATAAATATGTCAATCTATACAACCTTCCCTCTTCCCCCATTTAAGGAAATGTCCGTGATTTACAGTTATGATGTTACAAAGGCAATATTTCCCCTCACTCTGCAAGAGCTAGGTTTTGAAAATCAAGATAGATGGTGTTTATGTCATAAAGAACAGCAAAGTAGAATATACGTTTCCATTCAGATATACAAAAATCATACTCTGAAGGTGCGAGGTGCTTTTTGGAGTTGTTAGTGATGCCGAGGGTGATGCGGTGGTTTTAGGTGAGGCATCTGGCAGTTGAGTGGTACCTATAGGAAAATCACAAACCCAGATTGAGTTATGGTATTAAGTCTTCATATTGGATTTCTTTGCAGATTTAAACAGGCTGCATTTTCAAAGACCTGGGAAAGCACTTGATTTCGGTATAATAGGTTTCATAAAATGGTATTTCTTCATGCATTTCTTCTGGAAAAATGATTAACTTTGGCATCACACAAACTGAATATCAGTATTACATTGTCCGGAGCAGAACTGGCCAAGAACATTTGAGGAAGTTACATACTCCAGTCCACAGTGCACAAATAAAGTCTTGAGGTTCTTGACAGGTGTAAATCTATGATAAACACTAACTCCTTTTCAGATACTTTCAACTATGGGAAACTGTATTTTGTTCATCATACATGCTTAAAACAGATATAAATGCAAAAACCTTCAGGTTTTATGATATTTCCCAATGGTCGGAGATAGATGATCACTGCAGAGGCTTTGATGAGAAGTAAGGGAGAACCAATGGACCAATGGAGACTCTTTGGTTTCCCTCCCTAAAGCTCCGCAGCTATATGAACACCTTCCTTAGAAAAATGGATGCTTGATTGTTTCTTCTCCATTTACCATGACCTTTTTTCCTTCAAGGAATATGTCTTTGCCATATTCAATTGGAATACCAAGCAGATTATCATTATGAGTAAATATTATTAAAAATTTAAAATATAAGACAACATACCTTAGTAGATATAACATAATGCATGACATATCAAGAAAGGAAAGAAAATACAAACATGGAAGGCTTTATAATTCAATCACACTCACTGTGAAATGAAAGTAAAGATGTAGTTTAGAACTTTTGAAAATGAATTCTTTGTCTCTTGTGGCAGAAAGTTCTCTTTTGTATCATAGTTGCTGGCTCATCTTTCCACAAAACTCTCAGAGTGCAAAAGGCCTCACTCTTGCCATGCCTCCCACAGAGCTCCTGCCTCAGCCTGTGCACACGAAAGCAAGGCTGCCCGTGTCCCTGCGTTGCTTAAGACTCGTTCTGAGTTCGGAGGCCCCGGATAATTGCACCAGGGAGATTGATATTTCTAGGGCTGCCACGGCTGCTCTTTCCTCCTTTGCCACCCACAGCCCGGCACACACTGCGAGCTCTGTGGGGGAAGAATCATGTTGGGAGTCTGCCCTGTGCTTGCCAGGCAAGAGATCTGTGGGAGGGAGCTAGATACATGCCCATGAGAACAAAGAGAAATGTCAGGCTAGTGCTCAAAGCAGGCGGAAAAAAAAAAAAAAAGGAATATTAAGAGAAAGAGTGGGAGCTCGCTGAAAGCTCACGGCTGTTTGTTGTGTTTTGCTGTGGGGATGGATAGTCTTTTAGGTGTTTCAGGAGAGGACAAGATGGCTGGCTGAGTAACCAATGGGCTGGGGATTTACCAACAGCTAGTTACCAAGGCTCCACACCCCACCCCATTTCCTCCTCATGTTCAGGCCAGAAGTTGCTCTCAGAGTGATTATTTCTGATGTAAACGACACCATCACCAGCTTTCTGTGTTAAAATGCGTTGATCGCCCAGGGCTGGTACTGCTCCATTAACCACAGCCCAGAAGATTGCCTTGTTAACCCCACGTGAATGCTCAGCGCTGCCGAGACAGAAACTTCCAGGTTTCTGTTTTGTTTTTCTTCTAACTGGAAGTCTTACTTAAGAAATCTTTTCTGAATTTAACACCCACACATTCACACGGAAGCACACATGCACGAATGCACACATGTGTGCTTACCCATATTGTGTGTAAGACTATTTGGTGTTTGCATTTCTTTTATTTTTCTATTTAATTAAAAATACTTGTTATGACATTTCTTGTATATTAGTGCCCCTCAATTTGAGAAACCCTGTCTCTAGCAGGATCATATGGCTGAATGGTACTTGGATAAACCCACTAATTGTGAGCCTAACATTATCCTTTCTGTAGCTATAACAGAGGGATTCAGTGTAGTCTGATGATCTCCATTTATTGTGTTGAAAATGTGCTACCATAAATTTCTACTAACATAACCCTGCTGGAAAGGGCTCAGCGGAAGAATAATGCGGTAGTTAGGGACATGATACTGAAAGCCGGGGCCAGAACCAAACTCTGACTGTAAAGCTGACTTCCTGTGGAGGCTTGATACATTATTTCAGCTCCTTTTGTCTGATTTGCTGATACGTAAAGGGCTTTAAAATAGTTTTATATTATATTGTTGCTGTAATGATTAAGTAAGAATAAATTTAAATTGTCTAGGAGAGCCCCTGGTCCTAGTATGGTTATTTTTAGTTATATAGTGTCGTATAACATATGCTGTATGATATTGCTGTATTGTAGGATTATGCCTTTCAGAAAGTTGGGCTTCCCAGAGAGTTTGTCCAATTCCTCCAAGATTCAAAGTATAGCTGTGTGAAATTGGCTTTTCAGACATTTCCATGCTTTCAAAGGGTGTTTCTTTTCTCCAGTCAAGAGTGGAAGAAGCTGGAAAACCAGTTTCTCTTAGATCCCCCAGCTTGCATCTGTGTCCTGATTATTGTGACTGTGATGGCTATTAAACTCTAGGGGAATTGTGTCACAATTTAAATGCAGCTTCCAAACTTCAGGTCAAAACTCAGGGCAAGCTATGTGAAACAACTTCTCTTAGAGCCAAGCCTATTCTTTTGAAATATATTCACATTTTGCTCATAGGTCTTGACAGAGGCACTTTTTGTTTTTCTAGGCAGGGTTCCCTATGGCTGTTTTGGACGCATGTAGAGGAGGCTGGCTTCAAACTCACTGCTCTGCTTTCCTCTGCCTCTAGAGTGCTGGGATAAAAGGTGTGCATCACCTTTTGCTGTTAACTTCTTAGGTCACTGGGAACTTTACTAACAGTGTACTTTACTGTTGTCTTAAGGAATCTCGGCTTGACTAGAGAATGGTCTTCAAAGGCCTGAAGCTATAGAATTGTATGTGGCTGAGATTCCCCACTTGTTCTCTGAGCTCCATCTTGTGCTGGTCTGAGGCCGTACTGCCCCAAGACTGATGAAAACCAAATGTCAGGCTGGCAGGGACAATCATGCCCACCACTTCTTAAGAGTCATGAATGTCTCCTAAGATGCTCTTTGGCTGGAGTGTTCCTTGATGACTTTTCTAAAACTTCCTAAACATGAACGTCAAGCTAGAAGGCTTTCACTGAACTGCCCTCTCCTGTAAATGTATGTTTCCTGTCCCAAATAACTGACTCAGAGACTACATATGAATTATTATTGCTCGGCCAATAGCTCAGGTTTGTTACTAGCTAACTCTTACACTTAAATTAACCTAAAATTCTTATCTATGTTTAACTATGTGGCTTGGTATCTTTTCTCAGAACAGCTTTCTCATCTTGCTTCTCTGCATTTGCTGGTGACTCTCTGTCTCTGCCCTTCCCTTTCCCAGAATTCTCCTTGCCTGGCTCTAGCTCTCAATCTTTTCCTGCCCAGCTATTGGCCAATCAACTTTTTATTAGCAAACGAGATTAATACATACTCACAGTGTAGAAGAAGATTGATCCACAGCACCCTCCTGCCCTCTCTCTACATCAGACTTACCTTCCTGTCTGATAACTTCTCCGCCATTGCTCTCCACTTTACTTTCATGCATTATCTCCATTGGGTTTTTCCCCTTTAATTATTGTTATATTTATGTATGTGTTTAAATGCATAAATACAACCTGCTGAGTCTCTTCAGTGTTGACTGTATGATTTTAGTGTTCACCACTTGGCATTGGATAACAAATTAGAGGTCTTGTCCCTGGGGAAAACTGATTCTCCCTCTCTAAGCATCTGTTAATTTCTGGTAGCTCTTTATCTAGCGGTTAGATAAAGAGGACCCTGTGAGATCCTCATCCATGCTGACATGTTGCATTGTATTTATTTTTATTCATTCAATAATAACCACAAATAGAGGCCCACTCTATATCTAACAGTAATTGATTGAAGAAAGCACAGTACAGTCTAAGATACAGTTAAGGTATTTCCAATGATCTAGGTGAAACTAGGGATAAAGAACAAGCATCAAAGTATTCCAAGTATCATGATGAGTGAGCCTATGCTACCTCTGATGAAACAAAAGAAAGATTTGAGAAGCTTTAGTATTGATGTATACCATAGGTGAAGAAACCAGCACCAGGAAATAAGAGCCAAGGCAAATGGAGCAAATAACCATGCTACAAGAACTTGCATAAGTGCAGGTGCTGACATTAGTCACAATGATGTGTGCTGAGTATCCTGACACATAGGGAAAGGATGGAGTCTATGCTGGGCTTCCATTATCAGAAACAAAATGGATTTAGATAAAAAGCAACTAGAACATACGTGGTTCAGCTAATGGATGCTCTGCATACAGTTGGTAGAGCTGTGTTTGTAGAGGGGACTAAGACAATGGGAACATTGAGCACTCTTCCAGCTTTAAGAACTTAGATTCTTGTCACAGGATTTCTTGCTTTGTCAAAGTTTTTATGAGGATATATCCATGATGGATCTTTCTGGTCAGTTAATAGGTAGAACACCAGAGGAGAGTTTTTCTGCCTTTGAGTGGCTGCGATTGAGCTTGAGTCTCCTCAGTTTATGTTTCTGCACTGGGATACTCTGATAGCAAAGTCAAAGTTTTATCTCAAATGTCCATCATTTTGCTTTGAGCCACCAATGTAATTAACCTGAGATATAACATATTCTTTTCAGGAAATAATTGTGAACTGAGATCTATTTAGTTTAGATAACTCTGTTGAAGTTGATACTGAGGGAGAACAACTTCCCCTTTCTTATTAGGCTTACATAGGTACTAAATACCAAAAAATTATGCATGAGATCCAAGAAGAAATGAAGCAGGATATTATTACTTTTATATGCACCAAGTAATTTCATCCCTAAGAAAGTATGCTTAATCTTGTGTCTTAAGGATGAGAGATACCATGGCTCAGGGAGATGAGGTAAACACATCTGAGAGTGAGAGAAAATGTAAGTTGAATATATTATGAAACCATTTCTGTTTTCCTTCCATTCTTCCACAGGATCAAGGGATTTTTAAATAAGACTATTGTATTTGCTTATATATAACCATTCATAAGGTTAATGAAATTTGTTCTTTGAATTCTGAAAGGTTTAAAATGTTCTTTCTCTACCAGTATCAACAATCTCTAAAAATATTAAGGATTTTACCTCAAATCTGAATGGGACAGTATATATCAGATATTATTCTAAATGTTTTGCAAGGAATAGGTCTCTCAATTATTATTGTGTTATTGCTTATGGTTTTCAAAGCAAAAACGGAAGCCCAGAGAGATTAAAGATCCTCCCAAGATCACATCATGAGTAGGCTGTAGAGCAAATATTTCATTGCAAGCTCTAGAGTCAATTAATTGTTTTGGTATTATAAAACCCTAGGCTACACACTCCAGGCAGCATATGATAGGTGTATTCCTTTACACTTGAAGCCTCCTAACATTTAGTTGTCCTGTATTGTTCTCTATTTCACCTTGCTTTCAAGCTGGCATATGTGTATATACATACATACATACATATACATACATGTATATACACATATACCTATATAATCTCATTCTTAAGATATTTCCAATGAATATTCAGAGAATAAATGAACTTACCTGGCACTTCTGGTGTTTTGATTGAACTCTGATTCTCAGCTTTCAAGGTAAAAATAGAAACATTAAAATTAATTGTTGATTATAATACCTGGTTTTATGGTTGTTTCAAATGTAATTTTTATAGAAATCAGTTTATTTTGGATATGATATGTGTGTCCCTCAAGATATAGAATCATGGAGATTTATGACTCCAAGAAACCCCAGAGCAAGAATCAACTAACTTTTTTGTCTCTCCCTTTTCTTAATTTTAAACAAAAATTTCCTCATGGTATCATCATAGGTACAAATATACTTGTAACTTCCTCTTTTTTGCAAGACAGTGTTTCTATGTGTAGTTTTGGTTGTCCAGTGCTCTGTTGACCAGGTTGGCCTTGAATTCACAACGATCCATCTGCCTTGTAACTTCCTCTTTAAGGCTTAGTGTGCTATGAAGTGTCTGTTGCAATGTCTCAGCCCTGTCTTTTAATGTGAACTGTCATACATATGAAACACCTAAAGAAAGTATATCATGAACTCAGCCAAATAAAATACATAATGAAAGCATGTAATTTTATATTTATAAAACTTTATTTAGAAAAAATAGGCAGGGGCACCTATTTTGCTTCTCTGACTAACTAGATCCTGGTCCGGATCACTTTTACATGATCTTACAAATGAAATACCTAAATACAACACAGTGAGCCACAGGGACTTCTATTTCTCTGTCAAAGGGGCTAACCTGTGCTATTGTCCTATTAAGACCTTATACATCTTATCTTGGAAACAGGCAAGAGTCAGAGAGCTATACTTGAAACTTAAGGGATTCCTGGGTGGTAGCTACAGCCCAACAGAGATGGCAACAAAGAAAATCACTTTAGAGAACCTTCAAAAAAAAAGCCCTTTCAGTAACTTCGATGGCGTGGACCATGAAGAAAGAGGATTTGCCTTGTGAAAAATATAGAAAATAAAAAAATAGAAAATACTTCTGAAGCAAGTAGAGGCCTAAAAATACTTACAAATGATTTGCATCTTGTATATATTCAACTCGGCGGCCAACATTAGCATCTCACATGCAACCACCTCAGACAGCACCCTTGAGTGCTATCCTCCAACCTACTTCTTCCCCCCTGCCTTCTTGGATCAGGGCAAGGGACCCTTGTCTTCCAGTTGCTTAAGGCCAGAAAATTCCTTCTGGAATCTCCTCTCTGCTAGCCTCTATACATTCTGAAGCTCTAGATTAAAGTTTGTTCATCTAGCTCCCAAGAGCTTTTAAGAAAATGTCTTCAAAGTTAACCTTGATTCCGCACCACCTCCCTGTTCCTTAGTGTGGCTGGCCTGTCTTCATAGGATCTGGGGAGCCCTACCTCACTCCTCAGTACTCTGACCCATCAGCTGCCTCTTTAACTCTGCTCCACATTGTACCTGGTGCTGATAGACCAAAGGTTCAAAGATACAGAGTTCTTCCAGACCTGGGTTTCTTGTGTTCTTCCCTGTGCCTCAGGGTTCTCTCAAGCCACCTCACTAAACTGTGTCTGCACATCATTCAAACCAGCCCATCACCTGACTTTGTTTGCAGCCCTGCAATTTTATTATTATAGTAACATCTACTTTCTGCTTGAAAAATCGCTTGTTGTTGCTGTATTATATCTCTCTGAGGATAGATTTTCTACCTTAGATAGAGCTGTGATTCTAGTACCTATCCCTAGAATATGCTGTAGTAAGTCTCTAGTATATAGAAAAGAACGCATTTTAAATTTAATGATTATGAGAGATACTGTTCCCAGTTTGTAGATCTGCAAATATTAGCTGAGGAAAATCAAATTACTGTCTTTTTTTTTTTTTGGTTATTTTGAGACAGAGTTTCCTAGTAGCTATGGAGCCAGTCCTGGAATTCGCTCTGTAGACCTCCAACTCACAGAGATCTGTCTGCCTCTGCCTCCCAAGTGCTGGACTTAAAGGCATGCACTACCACTGCCTGGCCCTCAAATTACTGTCTTAAAAGTGGAACCACGGTGACAGCTCAGAACTTTGGTTCCAAACACATCTACTCTCACTAAAAGAGACAGTTTTTCTCCTCCTAAATATTCTAAGTATAAAGCTTATATAATTAATTTCTCCTTTGATAACTAATTAAAATACTTTTGAAAGTGGCACAATGCTGCATTTGGGAGATGCAGTTAAAATATTTATTAGCAGCTAGGATTAGAATACAAAGAAAATCAAAACCCTTTCTTCCTTTTCTTAATATCAGGTCACAACCTTTTCTGCTGATAGACTTGTCTGGGAATGAATAATTCTAAGCTTGGATCAAATAAGACCTTCTGGCTCTCCTTTATTTGAATTTCTTTTGGCCTCCAAAATGCATAATAATTTTATATTAATAATAAATAAGGAGTATAACTGTGTTCTGAAACTTGGTTGGAATGTAAAGAAACACATCAGTTCATCTCATTATACTGAAGAGTCCAAGATCAAAGCCTATACATATACCTGTGTATGGAAGAAAAAGGCTGAGAACAAAATTCTACAGTTGTCAATTACTTAACCAATATGACTGAGCATAATGGTCACAAACCTACATTTCCATCACATTGAAAACTGAGGCAGGAGGATCACAAGTTTGAGATCCCAAGTCAGAGCTCCACAGTGAGACTGTCTCTCAATAAATCAGGAAGTTAGGGATAGCTCAGTGAAAGTGTACTTGCCTAGCATGCTCAGTGCCTGGGTTGGACCTCCAGTACCTTCAAAACAGAAAGGAATGTGTGCCTCCTTCTTGAAATAGAGGAAATAGTTTGAAGACAACAAACTGTTTTTAAATGAATACAACATTTAACACAGACCCAGTTTAGAGGGTTCAAAAATCTTAGCAAAAAATGAACGCTCTGGCATATGGCTAAGTGTGAGTATCTCTGGTTTTTATTTATAACTGTAAGGACGCATATGCACTGTCAGAAGGCCACACTCGGATCTGTAGAGGAAGCAACGGAAGTCAAATCACAGATGCATATGGGACGCTTTTGCTAATATTCTCACAGTTGGATGATCAGTAAAAGACAGAACTGTTGGCATCTGTTGCTGAGTTGTAGCCTGTAATATGAAACTGTGCTCTTAAAAACTGAAAATATATTTCCAAAGCTAAACCTAAACATTATTTAGAACAGAATGCTTTACTAACCATACAAGAGCTAACTTTGCTTATTTCACAGGAGAGCCTGTGTTTTCAGATAATGCACTATAGTGGCACACAAAATGTGTTGTTAAAGGAAGGAGAAAGACTATATAGAGATATTTTTATATATAATCATCCATTTCTGTTGAAAAATAAGTTGTGAGCAATTTCCATTGTATTTCTCTGTCATCTGACAGTAAGGCAGTGGGCATGAGATTATTTATTTTTTTTTTTCTACGCTAGGCCTTGCGACAAAGACTATTATTCTGCACATGCGTCCTGTTTGTGCCCACAGCATACGATATCAAATAGCTAGCCAGACAAGGGGGAAAGCTGTGGTTAAATCCTTGCCTATAATGTCATGGGGAATGGCTCAGATTATAAAATAACATTGGCAGCTTTGGCAACCAGACAAATTAATGATTTCTAAATTGTAGGATGATAGAGGATAGCATTGCATGAAATAGAGTCTCTCCAGTGGTTGGAAGGGAACATTCAATGAAGATGTTATTTCCTGTCAGTTTAATGTCCGTGGGGATACTATGAGGGTGCAATGTGTGTATGTATGCTTGCATATGTGTGTTCCAGCATGTGAAGGTGTGCTGGCACACGTATATGTCTGCAGAGTCCAGAGGTTGATGTTGGGTGTCTGCCAATTGTCCTTCACTTGAGCTTTGGAGACAGGGCCTCTCACTAGTTGACCTGGCACTCACCCATGGCTAGATTGGCTGTGCAGCAAGCACAGGGAGCCTCCTGTCTTTGCCGCCCAGGCCTAGGTTAGAGGTGCACACAACCTGCCTGGCTTTTCACGGTGATGCTGGGGATCTGCCCACAGGTGCGCATGCTTACACAGCAGAAGACCATTAACTTGCTGAGCAATCCCCTCATCCCAGGTTTTATCTTACAACAAATCTCTAGGTCAGTTCTTCTCAACCTTCTTAATGCTTGGCGCTTTACTCTAGTTCCTCTTATTGTGGTGACCCCCCCAACCATAAAATTAATTTTGTTGCTACTTCATAACTGTAATTTGGCCTCTGCTATGGATTGTAATGTAAATATTTTTGGAGTTAGAAGTCTGCCAAAGGGGTCGTGACTCAGAGAGGTTGAGAACCATTGCTCTAAATGAACATCCTGAGGCCCCAAGGAGCTTCACAGATGGTCAAAGGCCACAACACAAATGAATGTTTGTACTTAATTTTTTTTCTTATCTAAGCATTTTAAATTGAGAATCTTTACTCATAACCACCAACCAAACTTACTCTTGGCATGATCAGAGACACCATGGTTTTATTTTATTTTATTTGAAGACAGGCGTGGTGCCTTGGAGAAAAAAAGTCCTGGGTGTGGCTCATTCGCATGGTCAGATAGTAGTACCTCTGAAATGTCTACCAGTTATTGTGAAATCAACTCTTCTTTTGTGTAACAGTAAATGCCACACTAAACCATGAATAATTATGTGACAAAGGAAGAGGAAGCAGTGGAGGATGGGAAGGTCAGAGGCACTGGGCAAGTCCAACACAGGGCCTGTGGGTCACACCTATATCTGAGAAAACAGCTGAACACTCAGTTGTAAACTTACTGAAAACATTAGGGCACATTTCTGAGATTTTTTTAAAAATTGTAACTCAGTTGAGCAATGGTTCAAGTGTAGACCATAATTTCACGTCACAATATCAAGAGATATTGTGATGGGAGAAGGGAATTGGGATTTATAATAAGATTGGAAAGAGACATCCTATAATTGGCCAGAACCTAGCAAGAAAAGAAGACCATTATTGCCTCTCCCTCGTATGAATTCTGACATGACTGAGGAAGGAATACAGAACAAGTTTATGGACTGATGATCCGTTGCAAATCATTATGCAATAAGGAAATTTACTTGCTAATCTAT